ATAGAGCAATAATAAGTATAAACTTTATGCTGACTCTAAACGATAATTTAAATCTATTAAAGTTGGTAACTCAGTAATGGTGCGGATTCGTCCAGGAAATTACATGATAGAAGTGCAAATCATTTAGAATAGTCAATAAAATCAATAACAACGCTTGCGTGGTGGATCTGCTCGCAGAATTTAACATTTATTCCTTTTCTAACATAAAAGATTTAGTAGACTTTGAAGGTCCGGAATTAAACCCCCAAATCCACTTCAAATTAAGCCTTGTGCGACCCCACCTTGTGAGAACCCCAAAGCCTACCTCCACTCCCAAAATTCCTATAGCGGAGAAGGTTGACATGATTCCTAGTGATGATATTATTTCCACAAAAGAGGGTGGACGAAGAAGATACTGGACTAGGTTAAGAGGTGAACCAAAGTCAGAGGATATGTGGTCAGAGTGCGAGGAGCTACAACAGATAAACCCATATGCACGAGAAGTTTTCGAGACATCAACTCGATGGAGTCGAGTTTTTCTCCCACCTGGGGAGAATGATGAGGACATCGAAGATCAACGGCTACGATCGTGTCTATTTATTTTCATGTATTTTATTTGTTATTTGTACTTTTCCATTTCTACCCTTACTTGAGGGCTTTGTTTTATGTTTACCCTAGGGGCAATTGTGTCTTTTATTTTCCCTCATGTATTGGGCTATTTAAGCCCTCCCCTTCCTCTTGGAAAGGGATGATGATTATTGATAATGAAAAGTTTTATGTTCTTGTTGATCTCTTAGTGAGTTCACGTGATCTCTTAGTGAGTTCATGAGAGGAGAAGCCCGAGGAGGGCAATTCGCAATACCCGTCAATCTTTGGAAGAGTCCGAGGTTCGCGGTTCTTACGATCTCTGTGTGAGTTCATTAGTTATCTCTATCTTTCTCGTATATTTTGGTTATCTCCTTTCTCCCCTCTTCATGCACATTCTTCTTCTCCTCCACTCCTCCATTGACTACCGCGAGCCAAGTCAAGAGTGGAAGAAGCCGAAACCTCCACTAGCATCTTCACCCTAGCTCCACCCGCCGGCCACCTTGCCACCGGCCTCCCCCCTCGCCGCCATTTTTCCCCCTGGCCTCCCTCCCCTAGCCTTCCTTGGAATTTGAATTTGAAAATTCAAATTCTATCCAAATTTGGAAATTCCATTTATGGAAATTTTTCGAATGAATTCAAATTATAAATTAAATTAATTTGGATTTATTTAAAATTTTCCTAGTCATTATCCTTGTTTGGAAACCCCCTCCCTCTCTCCTAGCCCACTCTCCCTCTAGCCATGCCGCCGGCCACCCCTATTTGGACTCCCCATTAATTATGCAATTAACTCTTCATCTTATTTGAAATCCTAATTAAGTCCAAAAAAGTTTTCCCTCCAATTACACTAAAACTGAAAATAATTTCAATTTCAAACTCCCTCTCCCCTTGTTTTGTTTCTCTCTCCAATTACATTAATGGCCTCCCATTAAGTCCCATAACCCCTCATTATCCGCTGGCCCCCCTCCTTTGGAAATCAATTTGATTTTCAAATTATTTCCCCTCATGTCTCTTCACTAAAATTCAGTTTCAGAAAAACTGAAATTTTTCTCAAGTCCTTTCTCCTACCCGAGCACTTCCCTGGAATTGGCTTGAGATCTCCACCCAACTCCTCCCTTCAATTCCAGAAATCTGATTTTATGTCAATATAATTCTTGGATGTGGCCGTGAAATACAGCAGCCTAAGAGTAATGTTCTGCCTTCTCCAGTAAGCCCGGATGGCTGCATAAGCCTCACTTGACAGGACAAACTGCTGTCCCATTGTGTTAATTTGCTGTCAAACTGCTGTTGGGAGTATTTGGAAGACAAAAAGGGGTTTTCCACCAACAATTGCTGCTGCCTACGCATCTCCAGTTGTTGTCCAGTCGATTTAGTGGCTATCTTCTTGGCCCTGCTGTCCAAGAAGTCAAGGATCACCTTCCTGAATGTCTCCCAGCTTTGACATTGTTAGTTGTTCTTCATCCAGTACCTTGGTGATCAAACGGGAAGCTTCGTAAGCTCTCGTTTTTGGGTAAACTCTTCCCCCGGCTCTTTTATCTTCGAACTTCTCAATTGTGGTAGTAGATTCATGACGATCACATTAATTCTTCTCCGCTAAAACCTAGTAATTAGAAGAGTTGTGTGAGGGACCTTTCATAGACTAATCTTATTGTTAGTTTTGGAATTTATTGTTGGAACGATTCATGTATGCAATGTCGGATTAAGTTGGCTGTCTTTTGAACTTAACTTTTATTCATGTGCTTTAACCTAAGCTAAGTGCCTTTTAATATTTATCTTATCGTTCAATTCCGCATAAGATCTTGCCTATTATTGCCTCTAAATCTAAGCGTGCAAACTTTCATTAAGAAAATCATTTTCGTATGGGATTGTTTCACATCAGCTTGGCTGATCGGTTTTGGGCTGTGTTTTTGGGAGCTGCTTTGTTCTAGTTCATTAATGCTTGAGCTGTTGTTTTAGCTCGTTAATATGAAAAGTTATCCCACTTTTTAGCTCATTATGTGGAGTGGATTCTTGCCCTTTCCCCATCTCTGTGGCCCTTCGGTTTTTCCCCTCTTGGTTCTTCTTCCTATGGCTGATTCCTTCCCCCTTTTGGTTGTCTGTTCTGATTCCCTGTGGTGTCCGTTCTTGTCTCCCGTGGTTGCCCTTTCTGGTTCCCTGTGTGGCTTTTCTGGTGCTGCTATTGGACCGCCTACTGGCATTCCATTTCCCTTTACCTGATTGGTTCGGTTGGAGGTGGTTTGGTTGTTTGGCTGACCCCTTTCTCCTATAAATTTGAGGTGTTTTTAAGCATAAAAGGTTGTTGATTATTTGAGCAAAGTCTCTTAAAAAACCAGAGCGTTTCTTCTTTGGAAAAGCTTGAAAGCTTGTTCCATTTTCTCTCTTCCTCCCTACTATTTCATCTTGGGCTTCTAACATCTTTCTTTTCTCCGCAAGTTCCACTCCACTTGTATCTTTCTTCTTGAGCTATTGGAGGTGTTGGTTGGCTGATTTGGTAACATTTGTTGGAGGAGTTTTGGTGGACGTTGGACATTATAGCTGTGATGGACCTTTAGTTTACAAGCCCTTATGCACTTCTTTTATATTGCCTACTTTTTCATTGCATGTGAGGAAACCGCTTGTCAGTTGTTCTAAGGGAAGTTGTTTTTATTTTTAATTTTGTTTTGTTTGTTTGGCTTTCGTTTGTTTTGGTGTTTGTTTGGAATGTTAGCATTCTAGTTTTTTAATTGAGTTATGTTCTACTAGTCCTGGTGTTCTCCACTCTTGGCTCTTTCTTTCTAGTTGCTTGCATCGGTGATGATATGTTATATCATCCTATTACCAAAAAAGAACCATTGTTTAATGCCATATCCCATATTGAAGTAATCTGAATAACTATGATATTAGATTAAGCAAAACAAGAAATAAGGCAAAGATTTTAAAATTAAATTTAATCCTATTCAAAATTATGCATCAACCATTCAAAATTATGCATCAACCAATGAAAACAGTCGAGCTTTAACCTAATCATATCGAAAAGAATAATTCAGTTTAATAAAGTAAATCTAAACAAATTTGAAGAAAAAAAAAATCACCTAAGATCAAACATGCTAAAAATGGCTGAAATTGATCTACTTTTGATGTATAACGAAGAGGGGGTAATATTAAAAAAAATATATATCTAAAATTCAATTTCAGATTTCCCTTAATTAAGGGATTTGAATTTGAAATTCAAATAAGATGGAGGAAAGGATAAAAAGGTGGTTAATTATTCCCCTAATTGGATTCCTTGATAAAGAAGGAAATAATTAAAATAAGAGAGAGATGGGGCCGGCCATATGGGGAGGGAGGAGAAATGTCCACATACAATGTATGTGGACCATAGCATTAAATGTGATGGAGTAATTAAATCTAAAATTAATTTCAGATTTGAGGGATTTTCTAAATGAGAGTTGGTTTAATTAGAAAACCTTTGAAATTCAAATTATTTTGAATTTGAATTCAAATTCTTTCCAAATAACAAGAGGCTAAATAAGGAAATAACTAATAGGAATTTAATTTGGGATCTAATGAGAAGTGAGGGGGAGGTCAGCGACTGAGGAAGAATAAAATGGGTGCAATTAATGGGGAGAGGGGAATTGGGAGGGAATTTAAAACTTCCTAAATCATGATTTTAAATTATGAAAAGGGTAATCAAATCAAATCTAATTTAAAATCAAATTAGACTTAAATTTAGAAACATTTCTAATTTAGCTTAGTTAATTTTAGGAAAGTATTTGAATTTCAAATAAATTTAATTCTTATCCCCAAATTAGGTAGGCTAATTTTGGTAAGTATTAATGATGATTGAAATCATCATTAAGAGGACAAAAAGGATGGGGGTGGCCGGCGGATATAAGGATGGGAGGAGATGGGGTGGCCGACTAGGAGGTGATGGTGGAGTGGTTTATGGCCGGCGGTTGATATGGATAAATTGAAGGAGGCTTGTGGCTTTGGAGGGGTTTGTGGGAGAATCGGCTGGTGGCAAGTGAGGGATTTTGGTTGGCGGTCAATACACACGTTTAATCCAAAGTTATCCGTGAAAAATATTACTACATAAATGAATCATTCCTTTAAGCGTTTTCTAAACAAAGATGATCTGAAGAGATAAAACTCTTGTGGTATCAAAAATGTTCAAAATCTCAACAACTTCCAGAAGTTTTCAAGATGAAATAGATAAAAAATGCAAGGAATGAAGTGATAAAACTTGAGACCAAAATAACACTCACTGAGGTCATTAACAACATATAGAATAGGCATCATTGTTTCTAATGTGGTATCATCAACCGTGAAATCGGATTGATGCAAGTGGTCACCTTATATGCAAAGGATAGTGTGTCAAAAGTGCTGCTAAAATAAAATTAATTTTAAATCGTCCCAAGAAAAAAATGCAGTCAAAGAATCACAGAACACCAACTTACGTGATGAAATATGTAACACAAGCATTCTGGAAGAAAACGGATGTTGGAAGCTTCTCCCCAAATCAAGAAATACAAACAAATATAAAGAAGCTTCTTTTCCTTGCCACCTGACTCCAAGCTACGAATAACATTGTTAAATGGAAAATTGCTAAAATCGTTATAAAGCTTATTTTACACAAAAGCTGCATTCTAAATATGCTTACTTATTCCAAACTGGACGGAGAGGCAAATAGCCGCACCACTTGATATAATTGTCAAGGCACTTCGAGAAAACAATATGCACAGCACCTTCATCTAATTTCTGCAAGGAAACAGTACTTCCGTTCATTAGAAAATGGTGAACACAAAATAAAATCATTCCAGCATTGAAGAAAACAGGCTGAGCTGGTCTGTGAATTTCTCTTGAAAATTGAAATTACCGATACAATCAGATAAGGCCAATGACGTTGATAGTGGCTTCCATTTATTTATCAATCATGGTTGGTAAGAGCCATTAAATTTAAAAATTTGCAGTTGGTTGAATGTAAAGTATAAACTTGTAAAACCCGAGAACAACGATCATAGGTCGTCGTACGCATTTCAATGCATCCCGACGAGACTTTAGTGAAAAAAAAATGAAGTTAACGGATTTCGACGAAAGTAATTTTATAAAATTCTACGTAAAATTTTGATCGATTTGATATATAAAACCTATATTTAATTTTGTGTATTTAGGGAATTATAAAATTTAGAATTTTAAAAATACCAAAACTACCCCTAAGCAAATAAAAAGCCGGATTTGTTTAAGTGAGGGCATATGTGTAATTTGGCAAATCCCCTTTCTCCCTATTATAGCAACCGAACCCCTCATACCTCATTTCTCACGATCGGCCAAGAGAAACGAAGGAACGAGCGGGTGTGGTGTCGGGCAAGGGCGACGGGCACGATTCCGGAGACGATTTTCTAGCGAAGAAACTAGTGAAAATCGAAGAGGAACTCAAGGGAAGATAAATGTATGTCTCAGAAGCTTGTTTCCTCTTCCCAATCTCAAGATTTTTTGAGTGGAAGAATCTAGAGTTTTTTTCAAAAATGTAGTTTTTCTTCCAAATTTCTTTACGAAATCAATAGGGAAGTGATGTGACACATGCATGGAATTAAAAAAAAAAGATTAACAAGAGAATTTATTAAAAGTTAACCATCATAAAGTTATGCATCGAATCAAAGTTATGAAAATTCGCGGTTTTCCACTTGCTTAGGAAAATAAATACATGAAGAGTAACCAAGACACTCTCAATCCAATACAAAGGCGAAGTAATGTAAAAGCTTATAACACAAATCGAATAGTTAATAATAAGACATTCACCGTGAGGATCGGCTCTCTCTCTACGAATCTAGGCTGAGCGGAGGAAGATCTTCCACACTAGAAGTGAAGTGACCACTAGGAAGGACGAGCCGAGGAACGTAGTTGTTGGGAAGGTAGCCGGAGTTGGAGGAGGCATGGAGCGTCCAATGAGGGACCACGGGGTTCTTGGTCGTTGAAGCTCAATGGTCCCGGCAAAACAATACATGATACGGTTGACGTAGCATTCAGCTGTGACATCGTACCCCCAATCCAGCTCGTAGAAGGGGGAGAGAAAGATGTCGTTCTCCCCTTGCTCATTGTACGTGAATGTAAAACCCGAAATTCGTCAATTGAGTGCGTCGCACGCATATCGATTAAGTGAAATTTCAATGTCGTCGGAAATTGGCGAAATAAATTTCATTAGATTCGTCTCGAAATTTTGAGCGAAACGGTATAAAGAACTTATATTAAATTTCGCACGATTTTGGAGTTAAATTCGCCAAAATTTGTTTAAGTAAAATTTGGCTTTTTCTACCCATTTTTCCCTTCATGAATTAAAAGAAAACCTTTAGAGATAAGGGCACATGCGTAAAATGCTAAATTATTTTCCTTAAACCTCATTTCACGCCTAAGGGACCGAAACATTCGGTCCCTTGTGCGTTTTTTGGCCGAACGAGAGAGAGGGCGACGGGAGAGAGGGAGAATCGGCGGGAGCTCCTTCCAAGCCGGCGATTCCGGCGAGAATCCTTAGGAAAAACGTGGGGAAAGCCTTGGGGTAAGTGTTTCTTCAATTATATGAAAGATTTCATGAGATTTTGTGTATAGAAAAATTCTAGGGTTTGATAATTTTTGAGATTTCTTTAGGAAATCTTTAGGATTTGACTTGATCTATGTTTTCCTACCATTCATGTCAATTTTTTTTAAAGAAAAATATTAAATCCGAAATTAGGGTTTTTTGTTTTATGCTTTATTTTATAGGGATTGTTAGAAGAAATGATGAAAGGATTTTGGTAAAAAATGCCAAAGTTTTCTTAAAGAATTTTGAGTTTAAAAATTAGGGAAAGCTTAGGGTTTTCACAAACTTAGGGATTCTAGTATGGCATGTTCACTAAAGGTGTTTCAAATGATTTAGAGAGGTCTCTAAATATAAGAAATTGAAATTTTGAGAAAGAAAAATAATTTTCTTCATTATGTTATGATTAATTCCAAAATAATAAGAATTTATTTATAGTAAAAGAAAGAGAATGTTTTAGAAGGATTTAGGATAAAATTGGATGACTTTTTAGGTTTCTATATTTGCTATTTTTAAATTAAATCCGAAAATCATAATTAAATTAAATAAAAATTGAACATTTTGTTGAGTTAAATAAAGTCTTAGAGATTTAAATCTCTTGTTTTCCTTTAGGTTGAGATAAGAAAAGTAGTAAGGAAATTGTGCGGGAATTATTGCAAAGGAATGCTTGAGGGTAAATGACTCTATTTGCTAAAGAAAGTACGCATTTATTGTTCAAAACTCTTATGCTATGTTTTTAAGTGTTTAAATTTCATACAAGGTGATTTATGTTCAATTTTATGCAATTGTTCCTTTAATGTCATGCAAGGGTAATTAGTGATACATTTCATACAATTGTTACTTAATGTTATGCAACTGTTACTTAGTGTGAAATGTTATGCAACTGTTACTTAGTGTGAAAGGTCCAAAAGGTCATCAACCTATGCATTTCTTAGCATATCATATGAAAGCATCTTATCATATTCATGCTACATAACTTGTGATTGTTGATGACGGAGTACCAAGATGTGGCTCTTTGAGCAAAGACGGTTTTTAAGGCAGAATGATATATACCTGATCAGTACAATTTGGTACTCCGGGACGGATGTGTACATTATGACATGAAAGTTAAACATATGCAAATGTTTCATGTTCTCTCAAGTTAAGAAATCATATGTCATGTTTTAAGCAAGTATGTTTCATATCATATTCAACATAATGTTTAGACACCTATTAACTCATGTGTAGACTATTACTCCATAAGATATGTTCTTTCAAATGTATACAAACTTTAGTTATAGTTGTCTCTTGCTGAGCGTAGCTCACTCCCGAGTTTTGGAAAATTTTCAGGAGAACCTACGCTTAGGTGATGGCCGAACACCCGAGGTTCACCTACAGTAGACGCGCAATGGGTGGCAGGTTCTTACTATTGTTTTTAGTTATCAATTTTGGGTGATTTTTTTTCATGAATGAATAGATTAAGTGTATACCACCTTGTATATGAACTTATTTTTATGATGGTTTTAAATGTTATATATGTTGGAAAAAGTTTAGAGGCGCTTTTATTATTCTTGAATATCTTTAGAATTTCATGAAACTGATGATGAGTACTTAAATTTACATGTCCGATCTCATTCCCGCCTCGTATCTACGAGCTAACCGGGCCGGGTAGTGACAGTGAAGCCGTGATCGACTTTAGGATCGGTCATGCACAATAAACATGGGGATGAGGGAACACAAGGAGGAAGACCAAAGAGAGAAGAGAGAGGTGGAGAGGGGAGGTCGGCGGCTGGACTAGGAGGGAGAGGATTTGGGAAGGAGGTAGGGGAGTTTCCAAATAGGCAATGAATATTAGGAAAGAAGAAAAATAAATCCAATCTGATTTATTTGAAATTGGATTCAAACAAGGGTGAAGGAGTGAATGAGCATTCAATGGGGGAAGCCCAATAAGGGGGCCGGCGGCATCATGGAGGGAGGGGATTTGGGAAGGAGGTAGGGGAGTTTCCAAATAGGCAATGAATATTAGGAAAGAAGAAAAATAAATCCAATTTGATTTATTTGAAATTGGATTCAATACAGAAACATTCATAATTTGGAATTCCCTATATGAAAAGAATTTGAAATTCGAAATTTGAATTTCAAATACGAAGGCTAGGGGAAAAGAGGGCCGGCGGGTGGATGGTTGGAGGTCGGTGGCCAGATGGCCGGCCGACGGGTGGGAAGGTAGCCGGCGGTTTGGACGTCCCAAGGAGGCTGGTGGCAAGGAGGGAGGGCTCGGGTTCTCCAAGGCAGCTAGAGGGGGTGAGGTTTTCTCTGAGGAGAAGAAGGAGAGAGGTGTAGGAGGAAAGGACAATCTAGAGCTACAAACCTCAAACACCACAATCACTAAAACTCACAAAGAGATCCACAATACTATCTCCTCAATAACTCACAAAGAGATCTTGGGAAATTTCACGAACTCACAAAGAGATCAACAATGAAAAATTTTTCATTCATTAATAATCATGATACAATAGAGGAAGCCATAATATATAAGCATAAAGAAAAACAAAATATAATGACGTAATTGCCCCTGGGACTACTACTCAAGACAACTAAAAAAAAGGTACAATCGGTAATATCAAATAATACATAACATCAAAATAGAACTAAGCATCAAAATAAATATTGTGGATCGTGGCCATCGATCTGCGCCTCCTGCACTGATATACTCGTAGAAAACGTCTGTCGATGTCCTCATCAGAAAGATTTAGGGAAATGATTTAACAATAAAAATGAATTTTTCTCAAATTATTTTGAGTTTTGAAATATTAGGGCTTTTCCTAAATTATGATTTTTAAGCAAACCTTTTTATAAATTTTGTTCCTTATGATATAAGAAGCGTTTTAATAATGAAAATTTTCATTTTTCGTAATTTCTTAATTAATTAAATCCGAAAATTAATAAGATAATTATTAAAATATGTTTAGGGATAATTTTGACATAATGATTTGAGTGAAATTGAAGATTTAGAGATTTCTAAAATTTGGATTTATAATAATTCCAAAAAAAGAATTTTAATTATTTTAATTATTGAAAAATATTTGTGATGTGTGCTTAGTTCAGTTGTAATATTCTTAGGTGTTGATTAAGGAGACGACACGTGGTTAAGCAACGTAGTGCAGTATCGTTGTTGTTGTTTGACACTTGCAAGATAGGTGATTACATT